TCAATGAGTTTGGTGGGTGGGTGTCGAGTCGGGGAGTGGGGTGCCAGACAGATGATTGAAGGGGGAGATTCGAAGTAGCATTAATGTACACTCTCTCTCTCACACACACATTCACACACACCCACAATAAATCACCAAACGACAGCAGCTCCGAGAGTCAACTACGCTGGTGTAGTCGTTGACATGGGAGTCCCAACAGAAAGAAAGAAAGAAAGAAAGAAATGAAAACAAAAACAGAAGGGAAGCAGAAGAAATTAGGAAATTAGGGTTTCAATTCGGGGCTCGGAAACTCTGGGAGTGTGAAGGTGTTGTGTTTGTTTTTTTGTTTACTTGTTTATGTAAACATAAGGAGGTGTTCTTTCTTCTTCTTATTTTTGGTTTGTATCGACTAGTGTTGTTATGTGGAGGTTGGAGATTTCGTTTTAAGAATTAAAGTTCATGCATAAGATTTTCTTTTATTTGAGGATTTTATTATTATTATTATTTTTCTAATACCAAAAAGAAAGTTCATTTTTTTATAGATTGAGAGTAATAGAGAATATTATACTTGAGGTTTAGTTATTATTTTTGTACAAAGATGAGAATAAGATAGACTTGATGTTAGTCTTTTTTGCAACTATTGTGGATTTGGTGGTGTGTAGATAGTTATCCAATTATAAGAAATTTTGGTTTTATATTTGATTATATAGTCATATCCATAGTTTACAATTTATTATTTAGAACTTGTCTTTTCATCATAAAAAAATAAGACAAAGAATTTATTGTTTTTAAATTTTTCTTGATTATATTGGTACATATGTCTACTATTGTCTATGATTTCTATCCATAGAATTATTTTAGTGTGTGCATCCATTCATATGCCATCATCAACAACCTTTTCATTTTATTAAATTCATAGAATTTATAAGTAATTCCTAAATAATTATTTAAAACAAAACCTTACAAAGTTGAAAATTTTGTAATGTGGGTTTTAAAATTTTTTAGCTAAAAATTATTTAAAAACTTGCCATACTTTTCTTTTCTAGAGATCTTCACACCACAAGTTTAGAGAAAGTTTGTTTGATAATAATGTTGCTTCATTTAAGATTCTCTTGGCTTGTACATAATTCCAAAGCCTATGCAAAATTGTTTAAATAGTTTTAGGATGTTAAAGATGTCAAAAAAATAATATAAATATTTTTACTTAGAATTTTGAAGCGTTTACTACTTATTTTTCTACTAAATGACTTAAAGTAGCTCAATTTGTTTTATTTTTATTTCTTTTTGGTTCTTATTTGGAACAATATATTTGACCAATTAAGTTGAAAGTTTTAGGATATGTTTTTTACTTCATGTTTATTACCTATTGAGTTTTGAACATTGTGATTGAAAGTTGAAAGAAAAACTTCCGTATATGTACTTTATATATGTAAATAAAGTATATTCAATTATCAAGTTTTTTAAGTTTGTAGAAAAGCTTTTAGAATTCTATGCCAATTTATAGAAAAATAAATAAATGATTTTTTTTAATTATAAATCCTTGTTTTTGTCTTTAGTTAAAATTATGCATTATTTTCTTAAAAATAAGTAAAAATCAACTCCCTAATATTTATAGATGTTATGGATTTCTTGTATTCTGTATTGAAAAACAAATACTTTGGATGAAAAAATGAGAGTGCTAATTAGGAGGTAGTGGTTATTCTATCAAATAAGTTTGGTCCATAGTATATTAAAATAAGTCTAAGGCGGTCTAATATATAATAGTGAAATCATTTTTTAATAAGTATTTTCAATGCAATTTTGAACTTTGTATCTTATATTTGATTTATAAAAATGAAAAAATACTCATCTAAAAGTTGGATATTCTTCTTTTTCTCTAAGCATGAAAAATACACAAAATAATTTCTAAAAAAATATTAGATTTTGGATTCATCCATTATATATATATATATATATATATATATATATATACACACATTTATATTTTTACATTTTTTTGTTTTTTCATAATTTATACTTCCAAAATTGATGATTTATTTGAAATAAAGTTGGGTTGCAATTGGCTACTTAAAACAATTTTAGTAAGTTTACAGACTTACAAGTAAAATCTTTTATAACACAAGGGTGAATTTAAATGTTCTCTTTGATACATACTAATAGTATTATACAAAGCTTTTGATAACATCTGCCTATTTATCTCTGAAACATTTTGCTGATTTTGTGTGGAGCTCTTCACGGAAAGCTTGAAGGAGAAGGTTCCAAGCTTGTGGAGGCACAAGTTGATTTGCGTAATTCAGCAAAATCCCATTCGCCGTTTCAAAAGCCTGCCTGAAACGCATTTCAAGCAACAGACAAATCCTGACAATGCTTACCGCTGGCTACTTCATTGCACTCCAGCCAAAGCACTCTGTCTGTATCTGGAGTTACAAGTTAGGTCATCATAGTCGTCGTCTCGCAGAGAACAATCCTGCACAGGATGACATAGGAATCGCTTCAATGGATAAGAATGTGAAATTATTTTTGGGGGACAGTAGGAAGTTCTACCTGATATTGTTAGAGATTAAACAATAAACTCAACAAAAAAAACGAAAGGAAAGTAAAATCAAAGCAAAAAAAAAAAAAAAAAAAAAAAAAAAAAAAATGCTATTGAGAGACAGATGTTTGGTTCATTCACCTGGCATCTCAGAAAAATCGAAATTGCGACTCATCGCTAATTTGTCTCCCGCTTGTCTTTGACTTCGTGTTCAGCCACCTGGCAGGAAGTAACATCGTCAGAGGTGTAGGAGCATGAATGAAAATTAGACATTCAGGTGATGAGAGCAGAAGTTGCTGTTTAGTTTTCAATTAACGAGAAGTTTGTTGTTAACTGCTTTATTTTACCTGCAACTCACAAGCTTTAGCAATGACAGAATCTCATTACATGAAATGTAGGTCATGAGGGGTCGATGATTAAGTCTAATGGAAAGCATGTGTGTTTAATATACTGAAAATATATTCCTTTCGTTATGTGAGAAATTGATTGATATGGCCATGATTGAAGAGTTTGTTGCAGAGACAAGAACAAAATAAATTGAGATGTGAAATCTTTATTTCGAGGGGCATCAGTGCAAGAAAGAGGATTGTGCGCATGCAAATCTTCTTCCTCAATGGCATTCTAACAGCTCATTCACAGGCCAAATGTGTCAAAAGCTCAATCCCGACATTCAGTGAGAGCTCGCTGTACCCTTTGGGCAGTTTGATATCAAGCGAGCCGGATGTTCTCTCCTCTTCGACGCCGTAGCCTGCGCAGGTGTGAATGGTATATTTTCCTGCTAATCTCTCTTTCAAGGATCTGTACGACTCTGGCAAGCTACGACGAAAACCATAGCCGGAAGGATCCTGATTACAATCTATCAAGAAGTCGAAGTTGAACAGACTCCTACAACTTTGACTGCTAAGATTGACCACTGACTGTTCAACTGAACCAGAATCAACGCTGTAGGGCACGGCTCCTGCTCTAGTTGTAGCATTTATACACTGGAGCCCTTCACATCCGATCCTACAAGCGAAGGCGTTGATTACTATTTTCTCCTCACACATGGTAGATCAGAAGACGGCGTGAGGGTATTATAATTACAGAAATCCCGCCATTCTGCTAAATGAATGCACGAAACATGTCAGGAAAACAATGAAAAACATATATATATATATATATATATATATATATATACACACACACACACATATATGTCGCTGGCAGGCTGTTCTCCACCTGTGCCGCAAAGTTATGCCCCGGTTATAAAAATAAAAATTCTGTAGATCAAAGACCTCTTTCAATGACAACAGCAGAAAGAACTTGTCACCAATTTAGCAGCCAGGCTCTGACCGTGATAAGAGTCTGCACTGGTGCGAGAAACATGCCTGCCTTTTCTGTTCTTAGAGGTATTCCCGGAACTGATCATGATACAAACATTCTCGCTTCAGAATAGTTATTGCGAATCCCCCAATCTACTCTTCACTTCATGTTACCTGTAACCCTCCGGGACGTGTCACACGACGACGCGCAAAGTGCGCATTGCGACGGAAGGCAGAATACAAACTGGCTCTCTCTCTCTTTCTCTCTCCAAACTACAAATTAGACATCGAATACTGTTTTCTCTTCACTGATTGTAGATCACAAGGTGCAATTAGAGAATGCTTCACTGCCGAAATCGAGTCTCATCCGAGTGTGCAGCCAATCTGCCTCAGCTATACACGTCGGGCTCCAAAAAAAGGTGCAGAAGATGAGTCGCACCACAACCTCCAACTCGCCCGATTTTAGAGTGAATTTGCGAGCAACAATTGAAACGTCCAATTCTCCCACAAACAGTATTCAATCGAATGTATAAAATTCATCCATTTATGTGTAGGTTTCTTGTCCTAAACCGTGGGTTTTTTCTTTTTCTTTTTATTTATTTATTTATTTTTCTGAACACAAAATATTAAATGATGCATGTTTATGTACGATCTACATTTCTTTTTAATACTAATTAAAAAAGTTAGACTGTATTAGTCTTTTGATTATACGTGGATTACAACAATCACGGAACTCAACAGGATTTTAAATTTTTGGCAATTTTTTTTATGATCCATAATTAAAATTGTAAAAAATAAAGTCTTATTGATATTGAGGTGATATGATGGTTGAGAATGCACATTATTACAATGCAATATAACCAATTTCATTTACTTTTTGCTCTTTTTCACAATGATTTGGAGTCATCCTTACATTTTTGTACATAATTAGCTTGGCTATCTATTAACACATATACATAGTTATAATCTGGAAATACAATATGAACAAACAGTATTCAATCTATGTAAAGGTGATTTTCATAACAATCCTATCTAAAACCCAATGTCAGATAAAAGGATTTGTAATTATTTTTAAGATAGACTTTTAAACACACAGATGAGCTTAACTCAAAGCAAAATAAATTGATATAAAATAAAAATTACAAATGAGAGTTGACAATGTGATAAGTGTAACAACAAAAATGATGTAGGTAGAAGGCTTTCTGAATTGGAAGAAACCAAGTTAAGAACAACTCAACTTGTAAATCTTTTACATTTTACAGTTGGGTTAAACCCAATCTCATTAAATTTTCAGGAGCATAAACTACAAAGTAATAATACGAGTTGAACTTCGAAGAAGAGCTGGTACCTGAATTTTTCATGATAATCAGCGTGAGCTGATAATTTCTCTGGAGGGAAAGTATATGAAACAGTTTGTCGTGCCGTGCTTTAGCTGAAGCTTGTAAAATGCCTTCCAAGTTGGTACCGCTACACAGATGAATTGCACCAGTTTTTATTTTAATGCTATGGCGACCGTATTGCAGTCTGAAAGAAAGTTGGCCTTACTCAGAACTGACAGCATTTGCAGCAGTGAAAATGGATATAACTGAGACCTGAGGTGATGATGTCCATAAGAAATAGTACTAGAACGGCTGAATGATTCCGACTCTGCATTACCTGTTGAGCATAGAAATATGAAACCGAGGATATGATTCGAAAACTCACCGCCAGCGAAAGCATTTCAGTCGACAGCACGGATTTCTTTATCGTTATGAACTATTTTTGACTTGCCCTCTGCTTTGCTTGTGTGTTTGTATATGTCACTCAGAAGGCACATCGGCCCTATGCCCTCTTTTTTACCCTATGAATGCTTGTTAACAACTTGAAAATATCATTAATATTCGCAAACCTTTGCAATTCCTCTCTCCGTACATGCTACTGTTACCAATCTACCTATTGTATTTACGGTGAGATGAAATGCAGCTTATCTCTATGTGCACAGCATTTATACTGATTGTGAAAAGGAGATCTAGTGCAAGAAAACGTTAAACAAATGGCTGCGCAAGTTATCCGGATTTCGCTCCTCTCAGAACTTTCCGAATGTAACTGATTTAGTTTATCAGTAAGCTCCACTTGCAAAACAAAACTGCACAGCTTTTGAATGCTTGATGAAGGATTGGCCGTGTCTTCTGACAGAATTTTCCGAGTTCCAGCTCCTGAACGTACAGAATCATACTAGATTATGAACACGATTGATGCATTCCTTTCAAAAGATCAAGAATCACGAATTACAAGAAGTCTGATTAATGAAAACTTACATCAGCCTTTTGATGCAAAACCTGTCACTCGATTGCTCATATTGCCCCCGCTCAGGTGAGAGTATGGGTCGAGTACCTTCCCAACTTCACCTGAATAATAATAACGCATAAAGTTCATGGTGGCGCTAGTCTTTGTGCTAAGAGTTTCAGTGTGACAGTCATCCAGCCTTAATTTGATATGACCGCTACCTCTCATCACACAATCGTCAAGGCTTGCACTGGAAAGGTTTGTTGACACTGAAGCTTGTGATGAAGAGTTAAAGTCAGACGCCAAGGGCGGCTGATTCTCTTGAATTTTTGTATAGATTGTTTTAAGCAACTTAACCACTTGCTCTGACAGCAATATTGAGTTGGCTACATGCTCCAATCCAAGTTTGGAGTTTCTTTCGAGTGAACACGTCAGTTGACTTGTCTGTCCCATACGACCAATTAGTCGCAAGCCAGCAGGCTACAAAAACACAAGCATGAAATGCATAAGCCGTTGAGCGGGATAACATTCCTAAATGCATGTTTAGTCACGACGAATTATATCCCGTCATCTTCGAGAACCCACCACGGTAATAAACTATTCTAATAATTGTCAAAAACAATCACTTTACAGATATGCCAAGAGTTCTGAAATCACAATTACCTTCTCAAGGTCTAGAGGAAGGCTGATAGATTTGTCATCTTCGTCAAGCCCTTTAGTGTTAGGAATGACGACGTGGTTCAGATTGTATTTGCAAGCCCCACCACTGACATCATTCTGATAGACGATTTTAGGTCTTGATTCACAGTTCAGTGGTGTGCCTATCTTTCGTACTGAAGAGGTTTTGTGAGTATGATCCATCTTTTGCTCTATGGTGATTGCCGAAGCTTTTATCGTCCTAGGGGTGCCATGACTCAGTGGTTGACGAGATTGACGTGGGGAGCGCTTAGCAGGGCCACCTCGGCCCTTGTCGTCTCCCATAGGTCTAGGAGTGGTCGGTGCTTGCAGAGTGCGATCTGCAGTTGAAACTATATTGCTGATCATGCAATTTCTTCTAGATTGAGCATGTGCTCTCACAGGTGGCTTTCTATCCCCAGTCTCGACCCTCGATGGCCTTGTAAAACATTTTCCAACACCGCAGGGGCTTACAGGAAGAGGTGACATAAGTGAAGTGCACTCAACTTTAGGAGCGCTCGGCTTCATTGGGATTAACGGGGCTGTATGCCTGTCAAACAAAGAGCTATCATGGTGCTCCTTTCTAATGGGAGAGATCTTTCTGCTTTTGAGGTCCCTCGAGTCCCCTGGCGGTGTCTTTTCAAATAGGCTATTCCTCTGACTTTGATGTTTCGTAGTGGTGATTCGCCTTGGGTCAGAGGAGTTACAAGGAGATGCTGGGGACTTAATGGGGCTTCCATTGTTAACAGAGTTTCTAGAATGGATTGACATCGACTTGGGACTACTTTTGTTTTCTGCACTTCTACCAACACAAAGCAAAGGCTTTGAGATGTTATTCTCCTGGTCGATCGACTTCCGTGGAGACAGTGAAGGTTTTGAGAATATCCTAGCAGAGTCTTTCGAAGACACCAAAGTGGAGACCAGAATCTCTAATTTCTCCGGAGATAGCATTTGATGCGGATCCTGGTAGATTAGCTCCTTCTCCATTATTGAAGCGTCGCTTAAAATTTCCTTTTCAAGGTAGACAGCCTGCTTCTCAAGAGACATGATTTCTTCCTCAAGTACCGCCACTTCAAGCAGCAATTCTCTTGTCTGCAGATACCAACACGTCTGATATTTCACTTCACAATTAAATATCTTGCAGACAATATGTTTTGATTCGAATTTGAATACTACCCCTTTCACCAGGTCCTAATCTTGTGGTCGGGATGTGAACCTCAACTTAGGTGCATTTGAACCTGAATCACGTCGGGTACGAGCCTAAGGCCAGTGCTAAGTAGCATTTTCAAGGTTGGTAGCAGATTTCTAGCTGAATTGCAACATAATCTGACAAACTGCATCTTGACGTCAAGTCCTAAGAACAGTATTATGATTAACACACCTCCAAAGGCAAGCTGGCGTATATTCGAGGGAGGGAGCCCAGGGGCCTGCTGAGTCCACGATTAAGTGCATTGCGCATGTTAACCTCAAACATCAGCTTTTTCTGCAGCCGGACGATCTGTTCATTATGAACAGCCGAGGAAAACATCAAAAAAGTTATGTGTAAGTTTCAGACAATTTCTAAACATACCATTAAAAGACACTTCTTAAATTCAAGCTTGAAGTAGACACTCACATCCTTCTCTAGAGCAACCCGTTGTTCTCTTCTCTCCCCCCTACGATCTTTTTCTGAAATCTTAGCCCTTGATTCATTGACCTGTGCTCATGAGATACCTGAGCATGAGTAAGATGATATAGCTCCATGTAAAAACTCTGATCCACAATCAAACTAGAGATCCATTCTAAATCGTTCAATATCTCACTGCGCAAAAGTTCGGTGCAGGAAGGAATTGACAAGCTTACGATGACAGGACCGTCATAGTCAATAGGAGTATGTGATACATCATAAGGTATTTCCTGCATTGAGCTCTCCTCGCATAGATCCTGCAAAATTTCAAACACTCAAGAACTGTTAATCAGCATACTTGCACCACAAACTCTTATTTGTCCTGCTTCATAAGTTTCATGTTGCGTCTTTAGACATTGTGATGCGTTAAGTATAGAATAGCGTAAAGATTCCTTACATCTTAGATGTTGCATCAGCAATCATCAACTCAAAGAATCAGAGATAAAAAAAATTGCATCACTTGAAAGTCTTTCATCACGTGAATCATATCCCTAAAGAAGAAATAGATTGAGATTATTCAGACTTAGTACCCGGTATCAGGCAGTATGACTTCACTTCAAGGAACAGGCGACCCGAATCACGAGTAATCCTGTCCTCCAATCCAACTGCTACATGAATGGAAGCTTGTTAGTAATTCTGAGTGGAAAATCTATAGTGTAACTTCTGTGTTAATATTTTCTATCCTCTTTCATAGGATTTCTGAACATTCAAAAGTTTATACCGCTCTATCAACCTACACGGTGACTGGAGCTTACAGTCTTACTTATTGAGCACAAGCTCGTCTCTGCGTAAATGAACATATTCTCCCACAAAAATAACGTTGGATGACTAGTTAATATGTGCGGATCCGCACTTGGAAATGTATTGCATTTTACTTTACTGTTATGTTTGGTGAATTAATCTTAATTAATTCAGCAGCTTGAGCAGCTATGAGATTGGGATGGAGCAACACCTCTTGTGTTTTGCTTCAAATTATACAGCAAAGATCACCAAGCCACGCTAATCTGCGGGGCGAAAGCAACCAAATGACAGAAGATCAGAACTAGGTTCGACTGTTAAGTTGTCTACCACTTGATGCGTCTTTTCTGCTTGCACACGCCTTTTCCGGCCCATCCTATCTAGCAAGCATTCAATTCATGCCGCTCAAGACTGGCTTCTCCTGATACATCAAAGGAAAATATTGTTTTTGACACTAAACTAAACGTCGTCAACAACTGAGGCGTTGGACACAGGGAAACCGATTAAAAGAGCCTTTGAGCTGGTTCATCAACATATTCTGGATTTACTCCACATTCATAGCATTGATTTGCAGGGGAAGCCTTTGTTCGGCAATGGTATGAATTGAATTTGATCTGTGGCTATGACTTTGCGCAGCAGCAGTGAAATCAATGACGCACACTCAGCTAAATAATGTCATAGAGTTCTGAGTCTAGAGCTGACGTTTTCCATCTCATCGAATTTAAGTCTGCACCAATCTCTAAATTTCGAGAAAAGAAGCTACATTAAACCGAGACGATCCCTTCGGATCGCATCTGTTTACACAATTATACAGGAAAGTGGTCACCAGAAATGAGGCTATCTGGAGCCATGTACCTGCTTCCAGAAAGGAATTATTTACAAAAATAAAAAGAGTATATGCAAACAACTTGAAATGTCACCTACTCGACTCCAAGAAATCCAACTCAAGAGACAACAACGTCAATGTCTACTGCACCTTGTCGTCACAATTCAGCAGCTGGAGTCTCATCAATCATGGAAGCCTTTTCAATGAATGATCAAGGAAATCAACAGATACTACCTGAGCCCCGCAAGACAGCTTCTGCCATGGACGTGCACGCATTAGAGCCCTCAGGCCAGGGCAGCAATTCTATAACGCAAATCACAATGCAAAGGAGACCAGCACACGACTCCTCGACGAAATAGGTTTCACGGAATCCCGGTAGTTCTCCTTCATGCCAATCGAACAAACTTGCATCAGCGAAAGGGCGAAAGAAAAAAAAACAGAACGCGTCACAAAAGCGCCATATCACTCCTCCGCTGCACGCACTGGTAATGCCGTATTCTCAAATGCACCTCTCCCGAAACAATCAATCAACACACACAGATGCCCCTCCGCAGGCTCACAGAACCATCAAAGATGAACTCGAGCTTGAATTGAAGCTAAGAAAAGAACAAATCGCCTCTAAATGATCGCGCAAATAACCACAGCCTCCAGGCCACCTCTAGCTACATACGGAGCTGCTCCTTCCGTCGTCCTGGAAAGGTCGCAAAAACTGCGGGGCATTGCTTCCACCGATCAAGCTTGACGAGGACGCGAAACCAACTCTCCATGACAACGTCTGGATTGATGGCAAACCAGCGCGGGCTGCAGCCCTTCTGGCCGGGCGCCTGCCTCCGTCACCCGCTCCCGCTGTCGCCCCCCCCCCCCCTTCAATAACCTCTATCCCATAGCAACACAAACCATGGTAGAATGCAACTCTAAAGATTTTATTGTCACCCTTGCATTGGTCTTGAATCCTACAAATATTTGGTAGCTTGGGCCCTTCTAAAGAGGAAACTAGAGAGGGAGTAAGAAAAAATAAAAAAAATAAAAAATGAATAAATAGCATAAATATGCATAAGGTACTTAGAGATGCACCTTGATGTGCTCATGCCCAAGTTATTGTGGTATAGGGTCTCCCTTGTTCATTTATCACTATTATCCATCCAACTTATTCATTTGAGCATCCTTTGGTCCCAAGGGATGTGTAGGATTCGTGATATCAAGAAACCTGCCAGAGGCTCGATCCCACCTTCTAAACCAACATGTATCTACAACCAAATGTGGGCACATGTTATCATTGAATTGGGAAGAAGACTGCTGGGGTACTTTGTTCTTGAAGGTGAATGAAGGGTGAAAAAGGGGAGAGTACTTTTTTATCACCATTTAATGCACTTGTATCATCATGCCCCTGTGTGTGTAGCCTCACTATTTCCAGGTGTTCTCATAGGAATATTGAGGTTGGTTTTTAGGGACCTTATCTAAATTTTAGGGTCAAAATAAGTAGTTGGGCTTTAGGGTAATAGGAAGTGAATTCTTACTTTTAACTGCCTAGAACATGGCTGACTTGAGGGCAATGGTACTGTTACTGCTTGAAAATGGCATGGTACCAATGTGAGGGGCATGAAGGTGGGCAGAGTATTATGTGGAAATGTATTTTTTTTCTTCTTATTTTCTTAATTCATTTAAATTTTTTCTCTCCAGTTGGCCATGACTTTTGGCTGTCACTTGTGTTAGAGAGAAAAAACAAAACAAACAAAAAAAATGATAAGATAAGAAAAGAAAAACACTGACATAAATATGTACATATATATATATATATAATCATAAATACTGATAGATATAAATTCCACAGTTAGGGGTGATATCTTCTATTTTAATAAAGAACCCTTAAATTTAAGTTTTAAATTAGGATTAGCAGTGTGAAATTGCTTTGGTCTTACCCCTAAATATATACATGTAGCTATCAACATGGTGTGATGAATGATTTGGTTGATTGGTTCACAGGAATGGCATGAACAAAGAGTTAAGCTTTTTTCCCTTAGTGCACCACATGTGCTTTTGATAGTGATAAGAATGTCTACATACCAACCTTATACTTGCTGTATGATCTATTCATTGAACTCATAAACAGACTCAGAGGAGCAAGAGGAAACAAATAGGGTACAACAACAACAATAATAAAAAAAAAAAAAAAAAAGAAGAAATATAACCACAAAAACATGTTCCATTCAACCATGAACTTTCAAAGGGCCAACTAATAAAACCCAACAAAAATAAATGGCAAAAAAAAGTAAATAAATATGGCCCAGCTTTGGCTCTTAATGCAGAAGAAGTCCATACAGTACTGCAACATGCATACTGTTGTAACTAACTTATAATAATTATGATTTTATTTTATTTTATTGTGCCTGCCCTTGCCCGCACAATCTCACCTTAGCTGGCATTAGCCATAACCCCTCCCCTCTCTCACATGTTGCATAAGCTGTATTATCTACCAAGGGTAAAGTTTTATTATTATTATTATTATTATTATTTGTAGCCATTACATAATTTACCGCACTAGTTATGATTAGGGACAAAATATCATGTGCCTTGTGTTCTCATTCATGGGATCCCTGAGACAATGCCATGGGACACAAGCCAAAATGCCCTTTGTAGCACATGAGGTCATATTCACTATTCAAACCCTTGTGCAAGATTTTAGGATTATTCTATTCTTGTACAAAAAACCATATTGAGTCATAAGTGTATTTTTGTTTTCAAATATGCTTAAAATTTAATATATTTAAAATTAAAAATAGCTTATAAAATTTAATCATTTTGGTTTTCAAATATATTTAAAATTTAAAATAGCTTAAGAAGATTGAGTATGAGTCATGTGTGTATTTTGGTTTTCAAATGATAATGAGTCATGTGAGTATTTTGGTTTTCAAATCATAGTGACTTTGTTCTGTAAATAAGAATTTGCCATCTTTGGTTCATGTTTGATAATTATAAATTTGTAAAAGAAGACAAATGTGTGTTATTTGTTTCTCAAATATCGTTAGATTATACAGATAAATTAACAGAAATATGCTGAAAACTTGGATGGCAAACATTTTAGCCATGTAGACATTATATGTAGGAGCAACTTTAAGATCATCATATATATATATATATATATATATATATTGATTTTTCTAGCTTATAAATAAAATAAAAAATTAGCAAATAAATTCATAAATAACTATAACAATAAATTGTATACACGCATAAGTTTGTCATCTTTATAAGCTATTTTTAATTTTATACTTTGCCAATATTTTTTTTTAATATGTTGTATAATAATATGAATTACTCTTTTTTGTGACTTATTCATTTTATTTTATAGTATTATTAATTCATATTTGAAATTCCATGTTTTTTTTTAAATGATAAAAAAATGCTACCAAGGATATTTAGATTCTTACATAAATAAATTTAATATGAGAAGTTAGTTTTAGTTAGGGATCTACCTATAGTGTGCATTGAATCAATTAGAATGTGTGAAGTATTTATGATTTTTATTATTATTTATTGTTATCAATTGTCACCACTAAGATAATAAAAAAAACATAATAATAATTAATATATTTATGTATATATTTATATATATGACTTTTTTGAAAAGTATATTTTTTAAAATAATAAGGTAATAGAATGTGTATTGTCACATTCAAAAAGACAAGAGAGTCTAGAATTAAGAATGGAATACAAGAAAGTTATTGACATGATAAAAAGATGATTTTGGACTTATCTCAATACATACAAAGTAACAAAAATGCCATGCAAAACCTTTTTAAAAACCTCAAGATTCACAAAACAAGTATCTAAGTTTTAGGACACTTTTACATAAATTTTTCATATATATGCAAATTTTAAAAGAAGTTTGCATGGCTATAATACATGTTAATATAATTTAACTCATTGTTCAATACAAATTATACTTTGACAAAGGTAAGATCCTATATTTGAACTTCTATCAAGTTTTTGTTTTACATCAATGAAAAATACAAATTTTATAAATTTAAATATTACAAGAAGAAGAAAAAGAAAAAAACAAACAGTATCTTGTTTAAATGTTTTTACACATATTTGTTTTAAAAATTTGCAATTTTTAAAATCTTGAAATATTAAAATAATAACAGAAAATTAGTTGTACTGAAATACATGGCTAATATATAATCAAGTCAAAACTTAGAAATATGTATTATAAATATTTAAATTTTTTAGGTAAAAAACCTATAATTTTGATGATATTTATTTTTATTTTTTGTAACAAAAAAATATTGATTAAAAAATTAGAATAAAATGTATATATATATATATATATATGTGTGTGTGTGTGTGTATGTGTGTGTATGTATGTGTGTGAGTATATATAAGAAAATAGTTTTGGAGTACAATGATTTAAGAATAAAATTAATTTACATTGAAATCACAATTTAAAACTTAAATTTTCATATTTAATAATAAAATATTATCAGGCTTAAATGGTAGTTGGAAGAATATTTTGGTATTTTCATGTTGAGTGAAAGCTAATTTGGAAATGTACTAGGCATTTGGCTATGGAAAAGTTTAAATTTATCTTGAAGTTTGATTTACAATCCATGCATAAGGTATTTAGAAACACCCTTTGGCCTCCTTAAAAAATCTAAATAAGCTCGAAATTATCTTAAATACATCATATCAAACTTACAAAAATCTTAAATAAATCTTATCACATTCTAATTGATTTCAAAATAATCCATGAATAATCTTTAATAAATATTAATTAAATTCCAATCAAACTCCAATCAAATCCTAAATAAATCTTAATCAAACTATATTTAAATACTAAAAAATTATCAATCAAGTTCTAATCAAAATTTAATATAATCCTTATCAAAATCAAAATCTTAAATCTTAGATGAACCTTAAATTCTAAATTCTAAATTATAGTCAAATCCTTAAATCTAAACATTAATCTTAACCAAATCCTAATCAAATCTTAACCAAATTCTACAGTAGATTAAAGCCTCATTAATTAATAATTTTATAATTGATTTTTATTCAAATTATTTACATCTCTCAATTACTTAGTTAAAAATACGTACAAACAATTTGAAGAGGATCAAACTAAAAAAATAGGAGATAAACCTCATAATCTACTTGGATATTGGTTGGCCTCAATTTCTAACCTTGATGTAAATCTCCCAATGCCAATATCACTTAATTGTAATGTTCAATTGCACTCAAAAAATTTATAATTTAAAAAAAAAAATTTTCTACTAGTTTAAAAAATTATTTCTTAATCCAAATTATATATTATTAAAAATCTTAGAAATCCTCATTGGTCTTCTAAAGTCAAATTTCTAAGGTTTCAACCAACTTGAGTTTTAATAATCCTAAAATTAATTGTCTGATTGAACTCAAATTTATAACACACATTTAATACAATTATGATCACAAACCTACAAACATTTAATCATAGATCCACTGTAAATCTTACAAAATTTTCCAAAGTATATACCTTTTTTATTTCTCAAAAACTAGAGTCGCTTCAAAACAAGCATGACTTTGCAAAGCTCTTGTAAAGTTATTATAAATTCAAATAATTCCTATCTAATGTCTAAAGAATTTTTTTCTTTCTTACTTTCAAATTATATTCTTCAATCAATAAAAAAAATACTTCATTTGCCATATGTGTGGAATTTTGTGTCCTAGAGTTTGGGTTTGACTTTGATTTGCAACTAGGCTTTATTGAGAATCAATCCAAGGTTTTTTTAAGAGATATTTGACAAAAAATATTCTTTATTATCACCTAAATATGTCTATAGTATTATTTTTTTAATTCACATTTT